GCTGTTAGGAGAGGCTGGAGTTGATGGATGTTGCCTACCTCAGCTGCAGAGCTTGCTCCACACATTCCAACAGGCTCCTGCAACAGGAACACCTGGTATTTATCTGACTACGGGCCTGAATGGCCCACAACAAAGGGGGGTCCACTACTAGTCCGAGGATATTAGGACTGCTGATGTCCTGTGCCAAACTAAAGGATAATTCCACTTTATTAGAACTCAGATTTTATTCTTCTTAGTTTTCACAATAATTTCCATCAGTAATGATGACAATGTACTCACCTAGGTAATTGCTAACTTTTTACAAAATTTTAGAAGTACTATGTTTAGGAGTCCTACGTGGAGCATTTTGAACAAGAAGTGATTTACTGGTTATAAAATGACTTATCAGTGGGTTAAGGGTTCCACTAATGAATCTGTTCCCCGACACATTTCTTAGAACGTGACTAAAGGTGTTATATTTTAAAGTAAATGTTCCCAAAAAATGTGTGCAATGGAAGCAAAGATGGACAGCCCCCAAAAACAATAAGGAATTGCATTACACACATTCAATTTTGTGCCCGCCAGAAATAATACATGTAGATATCTCATTCATTACATCTTCATTTCTATTTTTTTTATTTAGCTGAGCTATTTTCCCTAACCTAGTGATTCAGGTGTCACTACAACAGTGACGAGGGGAAACATGGTTGATTGAAGTGTCGTACTTTCGGTCACTACAGAAGGGCTCACTGGGCTACACGTAGCCCTGAACGGCATCAGTGGTTTGGATTATCTTGATAAATTGTTGCTTTGTTTACAACCAACAAGTGTTCCCAGATCTCAGTGACTACTTTGGTGAGTACAATGTTAATATAACTGATAGAATACTACAAATATTACCAATAATAGTATTGCTAAATATCTAATCTAACATTAGAAATTATTCTACCATTGCTTCTCCTGCTGCTTTCAATAACAAAACATATTACATCAGCCCATTACATCAGTCCATAGGACTACACTATTCTATCCCATATTCTGTCATTAAAGATACACTCTGAACTTGCTATAGTGCACATTAGTGCTATCAAATCTCCGAAAAGCAATTTGGCAATTTTGATGTCGCGGCCACACTTTAAATTGCAGGTCACATGACACTCTTTTTCCCAGGAAGAGATTTTACACAATCACTACACGCACACACAAAGAAAATAATTGTAAAATGACGAAGACAAACTAATTTCACATCATTTCAGGTTGTGATAAAGGTTTTAAAAAGTCTTAAAGAGAATTGATGATTTACTGGTAAAACACGGAAGCCGAAAGAACTTTTTGGACGTAGGCAACTAATAGCAGCAAATGGCGAAAATAGTTGTGTTTGGATATTCACTGAATGGAAAGTGTGACATCACTTGAGGACATTTATCAGACTTCACACAGCTCCCTCTGGAGACACTTAAGGCTTCATACTACTTTTTTCATATAAGCAGTATTATTTCCCAACTCAAGGTTGTAAAATCAGTGGAGGTCCCCTTTGAAACATCCATGCTCTGTTCACTGTTGGGATCCATTTAGAATTTAACACAGTTCTAAAGCTGGGAGGAAGTCTTTGGATTCGGGGCCACTACTGGCCACTTGAAAAACATGATCAGAGTGTATCGTTGACAGGAGAGGAATTTGGGTAGTTTGTCCAATGTTGTCCTAGGATGAATTACTGATAGCTTCGAAGAAGGCATCCTTTACAGCTGTGACATCTCGACAGCTTAAAAGCACAACATTCCCAGAACAGAATGAAAGTAGAGTCGTGAAGAAGAAAACAGAGAGAAGGCTTACGTTGAGTTGTCTTCGCCTCCAGACAGACTCCAGTCATCATCATAGGAGCCCTGCTGAAGGGGGGGGGATACACACAGAGTCCATGGTCATATTAATGTATATCATCAGTATACATCTGTCACAAAAATACCTTGCAGGAAAATAACCTCACCAAATCGGGATAAGGCTCAGTGACTTTCCTCAGCGGAGGCCCAAACTTCACTTGGTCGACTGCAAAGAAAACGTGATGAGAATGAAGAGATTGTTGAGCAGTATTCACACAGAAACATTTTTAAATCAGATTAGGACAATAAAGAGCAGGCCAATGTGCTCCCACACAATCCAGGCCTTTTCATGTACTATTGATGAGCACTCACTTTCAAGTGCATGCTCCTATCATGTCAATAATGAGCTAGCACTGAGGCAGACTGGCTTCTACAGCCCTGACCCAATACAAGAGCCAAGCACAGCATTAGAGCGGGACAGTGACATTTTTAAGGCGACAGTTTGAATTGGATTCAGTGCACTGAGGGGTTTTGCTGCAAAGTACTTGGTCTGGTATGACCGGTAGCTTGTGGTAACTAATGTTGTTATCTTGTTTACACTGACTGTCTTTGATGTCCATGGTACTATTCACATTTAACAGCTCACAACATACAGTATCTACTTAAGCTAATTAAAAGCTAGATAAATAGCACATCTTGCCTGATATGCCAGCTAACTTAAAAACATTGAAATTTAGTTTATCAGGGTTTGGTTGCATGGGTGGATTATGAGACGATGGACCCCTGGGCAAAGACATACAAAAGGCCCAACCTCTTCTACATAGGAGCAAGACGCACATACAGTACGTCATAGTTGTTGAGTCTCTTTTGTATGTTGTGTCTCTTTGTAGTCATAACACATCTCTGTAGTTTTGTGTCTCTTGGAAGTAATTTTGTGTATTTGTGGTTGTTTTGTTTAGACACATTTCTTCTTGATTAAACACATTACACAATCTCCACAATAATCTTCAGAAACTACTGAACAGATTTCGATCTAATTTGTCATGGGCAGTCAAGACTGGGAGTCCATCATTGTTCGAGACCACCTGACCGTTTATTAAATGTCACCAGAATGCATGCACAAAATATTACATTCTAATGGTCTGATTTAGCACATGTATGATTTCAAGAGGACTGAACCCTCCATGAACTTTCCTCTAGCGACACCATCGGGTCAAAATATCAACTTGGGACATGAGTTGACGAGCGACTGTCATTAAAGCCTTAACTTTGGATTTTAATCATCCAAATTTCCTTTAAAGAAATGTACTGTAATGAACAGTATTTCATTACAATACAAGTATTTGCTTATATCCCGTATTCATGGTTGATTGCTTCAAGGTGTGTGTACAATTTTATGGGGCATTTCATAATTTTTTGCATCTCAGATGTTTTTTGAAAAAAAACACACCAACATACATATCCATTGCAGTCCATTTTCACATTTATTCGGCAGACTAGCTTATAGCTTAAGTATCATACTTTGGTTTCTCTGATGACTTGACTGAGACGTGGTTAACAGGAAGAAGCAGATCGTCATGTAAGCGCAGAGAACCATAAAGCAGAGGATGTGTACTTTTATCATGTTTGTCTTGTTGTCTGTGTTGATTGTAATGTGTGTCGAGATGGATGCCTCGCCTTCTATTGCAAACCAAGTCTACCTACGGGTACAAATAAAAGTAACGTGAACCTGATGGGGGAACTAGTGAACCAGAAAGAGGAAGTAGCTGTCTCGTCTCGGCTCAGTTATCTCCCACGGTGTACGTTTCTGAATGCCTGCATTAATAGATGAAACTTCTATCATCATTTTAAAGTTTAGAACTCGAGACCAGAAGTTCTTTAAGTTATTTTCTTTGCTGATTAGAAACTGATTGTAAAATGTCTTGATTTATTCAACATGTATGTCAAAAATACACTACCCACTAAAGGAATGGAGAATGTTTGTCATGAACAAACAAAAACACAATTTATTTTTGAATGTTTTTAATTCTTTTCCACCTTCCTTAGCAGTCAGTGGTGTCACTACAGTGTGAAGATCAACTTGCAGGGACTTGAAACATCCTTGCAATAGAAATTCCATCCCGGTGAACATAATGTGTCCTTTTTTGTCAAAGATCCACTGTTGCTGCTTGGTAACGTAGTTGGGGGGGGGGGGGGGGCTGATTCGAAAGCTCTGTGCTGTATTACACAGCAACACAGCCTCCCCAACCTCTTCACTGGTGCTTTATGTTATTCGCACCATGGTGATGCCTTGTTCTTGCACTGCTATTTTGTGTCTTGTTGCCTTTGCAACAAGGCTGTGTCTTTGTCTGTTGGTCCGTCCACCACTTTGGTCCAGAGAGAAATATCTCAACAGCTTTTTGATGGATTTCTATGAACTTTGGTACAGATATTCATGGTACCCAGAGGATGAAGCTTAATGACTTTGGTAATCCTCTGAATTCTCCTCGTTACCAGCAATTCAAAGTTCTCTTTGAAAATATCTTAACATCTGCTCGATGTATTCGCACAACATTTGGTATGAAGACAATTATGGTTCCCAGAGGATGAAACCTATTGACTTTGGTGATCACCCTAGTTTTCCTCTAGTGCAAACTGCAGGTTGACATTGGTGGTTTTGAGGGAAATGTCTCAACAACTGTTGGATGGATTGCCAAGATATTTGGTCCATTCATGTTCCCCTCAGGCTGAATTTTAACAACCTTGGTGACGCCAAAATTTAAATTTGCCCAAAACTTTGGTTGATCACGTAATACCTGCTAAACTAAAAACATTCCCACACAAAGTGCAGCTGAGGCTAAAAACTGACATGTCATCATGACACCATGCCAGCGTTAGGTAAAACCACACACAGCCGCTAGCATGGCTGTAGACTCTTAAGTCTAGTCTTTAAACTAATGCAAATACAGTCCGTTGCTGCGGTAATGATACGTCACTGTTTCAATACCTTATTTTGGGAAACATTTTCCTCTAAAAATACATTTAGTCATTTAACAAAGTAAACCAAACCTCTCAAAGGTTAAGTGTCTGAACACAAACAGCTGTACAAGAAGTTCACCTATCTGAAATGCAAAACGATTAATGAAGATTACAAATCTGTAATAATAATCAGCAGTGGTAACCGCGCTAGCATTAGCAGTAGTAACAGCACTAGAAGTGTGATATTGGTCAAACTGAGGTGCACGGTTTGAATGTGCTTGTGGCTTGGGTATCTATGAATAGCACACTGTATAGGGGAAGTTGAGGTCAGGTTGATCTATGATTTGGTACTGGGCAGAGTGTGAAGCCAGACTGTCGCACCAGAAGCCCTTACGCCACAAGAAGACTATTGGCAGCAGCAGCGGTATGAAGTCACTGCAGCCAGTGCATAGAAGTACCACTGTCTGTCACACACCAATGGCATGTTCTCAGTGCCATCCTCTGACGCAGCTTTCGTCCCACATGTATGGACGGTTTATAGGACCAGGGCAGCCGTCAGCAGGCTGACTGAGAGGCTTTTGTCCTCATTCATATTATGGAGATTACAGCACTGAATACTGGGGGTCATGGAGGACAATGAAGCCACTCTTCAGCAAGTACAACTGACACACAGTATATTTAGACATGCATGCATACAGTGAGTCAGAAACAAAGTATTACTGTGCAATATTTAAGAGATATATGGATTATATATTCACACGCAAAGATGCAGAGCTCCGTGAAGACTGGCTATCATGTTTGTCATTTAGATGTCACGGTGCTTACAGTGATAATGTTGGTGATCTCTTGTGGGTGTTGTTGACATTAAAATAATTATAATAAATTCATAAAAACAAATTATTATGCTGTACATGCATATGAAGTAGTTTGAGATGAGTAGTTCAGCATTTTGGGAAATATACATTCAGTTTCTTTCCTAAGATGGTTTCCAGCTTTATGTTGGGATCTGACTATATGGCTTCGACATGTGCTGTGGAACAAAGAGAGTCAGGCCTTCCCTTTTGCAAGCAAAGGTTTCATCCTGATTGTAGTTTGAGCACCAAACCCCCAGCTCTGAAGAAATTCACATTAGGGTGTAAGTTTCATCCCCCAAAAAACGATGTGTTCCTGAAGTTACCTGAAAGCAGCGCTGCAATCTAATTGGCCGAGAGCCAAGACACCCCAGGACCCCTGTGGTTCAGCCACCGTTCTACAAAACAACCAGCAACCCCCACCTCAACGCTTTTTCCCCTTCGACCTCCGTCGAGCTAGGGAGCACACCAACGTTGTTTCCCTTTTCAACCAAATCCTAGGTCTCTAACAGTTTATATTCGCTGGCCGAATTCACCAAACTGTCTATTTTATCTATTTTATCTTTGTTCGTATCCACGGAGCGAACCCTTTTATTCCTGCAGAAGTGAAGAAGCAAGACTTCTTCAGAAAGAGAGAGAGAGAACTTCCACTCTCCACTCTCCACCAAGCGCCTCGTTTGCTCCGGACATAAGGACGCGAAAATCCCATATCCAGACGACAGCGAATCTCTCCTACCGAGAGAACACCTCCCGCGGCACGCAGCCGCGCTGCCTGGGCCCAACGAAGCTCAGAAGAACCCCTCAGAAGAACCCCCCCCACCTCAATCACCACGATTGCATCGTACCGTAAGGCGAAATAGAGTCTGGGCAGAGTTAGAGAGAGTTAATTTGTGTTTATTTTATCTTGTTTTGTTCCTTTCCCTTCTCTTTTACTAATACACACACACACACACACACACACACACACACACA